GAGACTGGTGTCATTTGATTCAAGGATACTTCAGGCGATTGTGTGCAAAATTTCATTTCTGTAGCTTGGGTTTAGGCTGACTTATAGCCGATTTACTGTATGCTGCCCAATGGGGAGAAAAATCGTCAAAAAATGTATACGAAGTTTTGTTTGCATATTTTTGTGAAAAATCAAAAATACTATTCTGGAGACTGGTGTCATTTGATTCAAGGATACTTCAGGCGATTGTGCCCCGGATTAATTCCGGTGTAATATGAACGTCATGTACCAGAAAGAGATTATTCTGAAAGACATGGGAACCTTTTGCTGTTGCTCATTCGATTCGTTCGATATTCTATCATTATATACCCAATCTCATAGTGAATTTTGTGTTGTTCTTTTCGTCCGCTAAGTTTTTGGGTGTGTGACGATGACAACGCTTAATAAGAGCATAATTAGATGTGACGAAACCATGCGACCATACTATCACCCATATTCTCGTTTTTGTTCGAAGAGTATTTAAACGAGAATATGGTTGTATTGCTCAGACCTAGATCTCTTAGCTTCCCAGCAGAACATATTTATTACAGTAGAGAATAAATCATAAAGGCTAGTTAGCTGGATACAGTTGAAGCTACATAACCAGAATGATTTAAATTAATGGGTTTAGTTTTCTGTATTTTCCTATGTATAATCAAAACAAACAATACTTTATGTTCAATGTGATTTCATAATTTCATCACTTTTTAAAAATAAATATCCTGGTAATTGATTCAAAAATAAAAAGGGCTAAAAACTTCCAGCATGAAACGAATCACGATCATTATCATTCAGCGCCCCGTAGATCGACAAACTTTACTTGCTGCATTTGCTCGCAAATTTTTGCGCTCCTGATAATTGATGGAGTTCCTGTTGACTAAATGCAGCATTCTCGATCAGCGTGAAATCAGAATATTCTGCAACACATTGTCAAGGCTTCAGTTTCTTGATGCTTAAAAAGATATACGTAGCCTGCTAGGTAGGTCAATGGTAGTTAACATTTGGTCACTTTTTTCGTCCACCTGGTCACTAAAGTCACTATTTTTACTAGATACAAAATCATTAAAAACAGTCCTTTGTGTTCTGTCAGAAAAATAGCTTTTAAACCATTTGTATGCAGAACCCGAAATTCCAAAGCGCTTGATTGTTCTCAACAATAAGGGCCTAGAAATTGTCTCAAAAGCGCGTTTTAGATCCAAAAACACAGCAACAATCGTATCTTTATGCTCCAATTTTTCTTTCCATTTAGCTAACACTAAGTTTAACGCGGTTTCACAAGAATGATCTTCCCGGTATCCCGATTGTTCCGGTATCAACAAACAGTTACTTTTTAAATATTCTAACAGCTGGCCTTTTACAACAAGTTCTAAAATTTTCTCTAATGAGTGCAACATGTTGATGGGACGAAACTCTTCAGCTTTAATCGTCCCAGCAACTTTTTGTATAGGAACAACTAAAGATTCCTTCCAAATACGCGGCACGTGCCCAGATTGCAATGATTGATTAATAAGGTTCAGCAGAGTGTGTTGAATGACATGAAAGCAATCTTGAATAACTCTAGCATTAACATTATCTACTCCAGCCGTTTTTCCTAATGAAAAGCAAATATTTTTAAGTTCATCTAATGTAATTGGATGAAAACCATCAAATCTACAGTTACTATTAATCGGCTGTTTTATTTCGTCCGGTTCATTGACTAGTTCAATAGATTGATTAATCAGTGAAACGCTCTCCACGAAATAGTCATTAAACTTAGAAGCAATTACTGGTTCTGACTGTTCTAATATGCCATCAAAAGTTATGGACCGCGATTTACAATTACTAGGCTTCATCAAAGATTTCAAAATTTTCCATGACTCTTTGCTGTTGTTTTGATGCTGATCAATTTTCCTCTGAATATATTCACTGTCAAAAAAACAAACCAATGCTTTCAAAAGAGAAGCAACATTTACAAGGTTGTTACTTTAATTTAAACTAGCAATTATGCATTGAAAATCTACTCCTCGCCATTACCATTTGCTATTGGCTTGATGCGACACACCGATCACAGTAAAGGCACGTAAAGGATAAATAATTGGTGAAGATAACATTTTATCCTTAGCTTTATGCTAAATTGTATGCTCAAAATTAACGAGGAGCCACACATGACAGCTTCACAATAACAGCCGGGGTACTTACCTTACCACCACGCTGAAAATGTATCGCGTTTGCCACTGACACGATAACAACGGAAAGCAAACCCTAATAAAAATTGTATGGTTAATTTGCTTAACGACGTGTTCTGGGTATCATCCAAACCATTTGTGGAATAGTTCAATGATTTGGGTTATCGTTCGTTTATGGTTATTTTTTATTAGGGAAGCTGAGTTTAAAAACTAACGGCGGGTTACTGCGCTTGAGTAGGAACGATGTTTTTCAAACGCTGAAGCAAGCGATGTTCGAATGTAAACATTGCACTCATGCTGGGGTGCACACACAAAATCACGGCCTCCCTGTTTGGTAATTTTTTACTAGGTTTTTACAGCTAAAAAGTCAGTAAATTTAAAAAAAAAATTGTGAAAAATTGTATAGAACAGATTTTTTTCTTGAAATTTGCACAAACTGCGTTCTTATTACATTTATTTGATGATAAAAATAAAATATGTTAAAAATTTTAGTTTCATTACGTGTGACCGTTATTTTCAGCTGTTTGAAAACCCAGTAAAAAATTACTGACCCAGTAAAATAATCTGTGCAAGTGCAAGTTTATTTGCCTGAGTGCATCACGGAACCGAATTTCGTTCATATAAATAAAAAATATAAAGGTTTATTCTATAGAAATATGAATAATACTTCAAAATAAATTGAAAACATGTTTTCAACAAAAATATAGATATTTGAATTAAAGTCAAAACTTGTTTATTTCAACAATATAGAATTTGGGCAAACGATTTTTAACGTGTCCTACGTTTTTTTTTCCTTGTTTACATTCGAAAAAAAATTGCAGCAGCTCTGCCATTCAACCGAAAGCGGCCCGCAAGCGACAAAACCGTCATGGATTCGGAAACCCACCTATGTAAGTGTCTTAACAATGTGCCAGCTCGATAAAACCGGAGGAACCCCACAGTATCGCGTCGACGTCACTCTGTCGTTTCTGATGCCGATCTCTGTATCATCCTCCTCCACAACTGACGTTGGAAGAAAAACGAAAATCCGAAATGGATTTTTAATCTATTCCGGATCCTCCAGCCCACCCCCTCCTCCAACACCAAAAGTAGAAAGGGCCGGTATGAGGACTAGCGTTAGAAACGACAAAACGACGCTAATATCACAAAGTTTTGCTGATTTTACTGAACTGGAACCTTCGGACACTCACCCCGACGGGTCCCCGCATCTCGGACCAGGATCCCAATATCCACAGCCCACCTTTAATCGCACCCGAAAAAGAGCAGGAGTTTAGATGCCCTGTCTGCAGATCGTTTTTTTTTTATCTCTTTGCAATCCATTTTTTGCTTTATCTTGGATTCAAATACTAATAGGTATAATTTAAAATGAAGTATGTTTCTTTCAAATATGAGAAGTTGTTTAAAATAAACATATTAAGTCGCATATTTATTTTTGTTCGCATAGTTGTCAAACCAAACAAAAATATTCACGTTTATTTTCAACACGAATATTTTTTAAAATAAAAGTAAAATTATTTTTATTTTAAACATTATTATCACATGCCTTCAAACATGGAATACGTTTGAAATAAACCTTGCTTATTTTTGTGGCCAGAACAAACTGAGTTTACGTTTAAATTTACCTCAAATATTTTCGTTCCAACGATAATTTTTTCTGCGTTATGCGTGAACATAGAGGGGGTTATTCCGATAGTCGAAGTGACTTTTGTCACTGGTGAAGTTGTTAAAAATGATTTTGTGAGTGGGTATATTAGGGCTTGTTCAAATATTACCTAACACAAAAAATCGTGTTTTTGAGTAAAACGCTGTCCAGACTGGAGAATTATAACATGTTATAACGGTTGTCAAATAATTGGAACACAGAAACCACCATCAAGACAGCGCTATAACATGTTATAGCTCTGTAGTCTGAACAAGGCATAACCCTCACCTCCTCATAATGCTACTTCCTATACCTAATACATGGCGGGTAACGCGTTGCCAAACTACCCCCACCCCCTCTTGCGTTACGTAAAGTTTGAACTGACCCTTACGTGACGTTAGAACGTTTTGCACTACTCAACTACATCTACTCAACAACTCCTTACCAAAACGTTATGAGCTACTCAAATAAGATTTTCTTGATCAATTCTTATAAGAAATTCGCACTTTCCAAATATGCAATCATAATTGGGGGTTAATTTTCAATTGAATCAATTGATTAAAATACAGGTCGAAAGAAAACCGTTAACGTATCGTACCGTATTGTATCGTCACGTAGAATGTGTCATAAGAGATCGTGTTGTCGGATTATCGATTCATCGGTTTAATTAGCGAGGGGATACTGTAAATCATATCACCTCCTTTCAAAATGTTTTTTTTTTACATAATCTGACGGGCCCACCGTGCAATAAGTTAGCCACCAATTTTTAATGTTGTTTTCTACTTTGAAATGTAGGTGGCGCGTCACCAACCACCATTTTTTTTTTGGTGGCTAACTTAACGGAAGTCAGCAGGTGGAGGAATGTTTCCTCTACCAGCTAGCATTGTAATTTTGGAGAAGTAAGATTTTATTCGCACGAAATTGACGGCTAAAGTAATTGTTTACAAAAGCAATTACGCCCCTTTGAAATGTTGGCACTGCTTTTTTGGGTAGGTTCAGTACTGACAGATCTGAGTGGATTCTACCCAAATTTGGGTGGACTGGAAATAGCGTGTACATAAATTGATTTCTTAAATTTGGGGAAAGATTCTCAGCGTGTAAATTCTTATTGGATTTGGTGTATTTACCGTTAGTTCGGTTAATAGCTCCAAGAGAGGTAGTTCTAAGCTGTGACGTTACTCGACCTGTGTTTTGCTTTTGGTGAGAGTGATGGCCACAGTTTCACTGGTATACAACTTCGAGCATAAAGATGCTTACTATTTATAGGTTATCGACCAAACTGAAGAAACATTCGTTTGATCTGTGCACAAAATTATCCAAATTAGTAACGTTACGGGAAACTCACGTGAGCAGAGTGATGCATCAGGCCACGACAAATGGCCATCTTGGAAGCGACGAAGCTAACCAGGGAAACAAGTACGGAGACTATGTGAAATTTTTGGAGCTGGTTGGAAACCTTAAGGTAATAATTCCGTAACTAACCTATTTTTTTTTCTTAATGTAATCTCTAGTAATAAGTTTTGATTATAATTATTCAAATAGATCATTTTGCTCAGTTACGTAATCAAGTGGTATTCATTTTATTATCGCGAATAAATTTTGCCAACTGACTATATAACTTTGAGTTGTGCATATGTATGTAACCTTGAAATTTATACGTCACGTTTATGAACAGCTGTTGCTGACGCTGACAGTATCAGATGATTTCATATTTGCAGCTTTTTAATGGTAAGCGATAGAATGTAATTAATTTATTCCTTCATTTGCAGCACATCAAGCGAACCGGATGGGTGCTACGTAATGTAAAAGACTGTGAGACTATTTCGGGCCATATGTACCGGATGGGAATGATGTCTTTCCTGCTCGATGGTAGCCAGGGTCTGGACAGGGTACATGTTATGGAATTGGGTATGGTTAAGATTATGCGATGTAGACAGTATTTTTTTTTTCAAAATGTTTGATCAATAATCTATTATTTCAGCTCTGGTACATGACCTTGCCGAGAGCATCGTTGGTGACATAACGCCCTATTGTGGAATCTCCAGAGAAGAAAAATTACTGCGAGAGTTTTCGGCGATGTCGGAAATTGCGGAACTGCTTGGTCCAAGCAAGGAAAAGTTGCTGGAGCTGTTCAATGTAAGTACTAATGAATATCGATCATTGATTTTGTATCAACCTATTACCTCGAACCCGAAAATGATTACCCGGATTTTTAAAAGATACATGGGTTTACAAACTAAGGTTGCCGCCAGAGTAGACACGACACGCGACCAATTCAATTATTACCGTGTAACCGTAAAATCCCATTAATTTGTATGGCTAAAATTGCAAAATTGGTGGTCATGTACACGCTTTCTCAAAACTGCCAAATTTGGATAGAATTCTCCAAGATCGATCTAAACTAACCCTACCCAAAAATGCGTAAAGTGAGATGGGAGTGACTAGAGACTAGACTAGAGACAATTTTATCAACTTGTCACTCCCAACATAGTTTACGCATTTTTGGGTAGGTTTAGTTTCGATCGATCTGGGTGGATTCTACATACATTTTAATAGTTTTGAAAAAGTCTGTAGAATTTGTATACCTACATGGTACCCATACTGCCTGCAGTCGCGTCTCATATAGATTTTCGTCAATTTTGAGTAAACGCTATCAATTGGCTTCTACTTTCATATAATGTGATAATACTATCCAAGAAGCCATCAAGCAGGTTAATAACCCGATAAGAGCCCTTTTGCAATATAACGCTGATATACGGCGTTAAATTTTTAAGTTAGAATTGATAGACAACATGAAGGCAGTATGTCCTATCAAGCAATACATAAAGTAATTCATGCGTTTTGAAGCAGTACTGAAGGTAATTAAATTAATAATCCTTACTTAATGTAATTAACAGTTTTGAAAATGTAATAATGCACTTTAATTACGAAATTCCGACTGTAATTAATCGACTTAAAAAGTAGTTAATGTTCTGCACTGTGTAATTAGTTCAGTGGATCTCAAGCTCTGTTTTTGAAAAGCTGTTACAGCTACAGTAACTTTGTTCGATTGTCATATTTTAAGTTTAATTTCGCGTATTTCCCAATCATTTCGGCCATAAATTCGCAATGCAAAAATAAAATCAAGCTGAGGTTGTTGTATCAGAGACCCAAGCACCACGTACGACCCGTGGGCCGCACTTTGGCCTTTGGCCATCACTGATGTAATTAATGTAATTGTTTATTGTTTATTGTTTATTGAAAAATTCAACTGACAATTATTGTCTAAATGAATAAAACTTAAACGAAATAGTTACGGTCAACGGTACGGAAAAGGCCAAGTAGCCGATGACGAAACACGTCAGCTGATACATTGAAGTCGAACATATCAAAAAGTTGTTGAATTGCCGGCTGATTGGTCGAATTGGCTCGTGTTGTGTATAATTCCGGCTTCGTGGTTCCAAAAACAGAAAGTCGCGTTGACGAAGAGACCTCTCAGGGGCATACATATTTAGCTGTGACAGCAGTGTTGGACAGTCAATGTCACTCGTAAGCAGCTTTCCAGCGAACATAGCTTGAGCGACCGTCCGTCTCACCCCTAATGGCTCGATTCCCAGGAGACGGCAACGCTCCTCGTACGGTGGCAAGTTCGTTGGGTCACGCCAGTTGAGGAAACGAAGAGCATATCTCACAAACTTGCGTTCAAGGGATTCAATTATATAGTGATAGAGCTAGCATGGAAAGGGCACCAAACAACTGAACTTGACTCCAATAAGGACCGCACAAGCGAGCAGTAAAGTGACCTGAGGCATAGCGGGTCACGAAACTCGTCGGCAATTTTGAAAATAAAGCCCAATTGTCGATTAGCTCTGGAGATGATGTTATTGTAGTGGATTCTGAAAGTGAGTCTGCAGTCCAAGGTAACGCCGAGATCCTTTATGTGCTCTACACGAGCAAGACAGCGTCCGACAGCAGTAAATGGAATTAATTTAATTACAGTCCTTCGCGTGCGTCGGAGTTAAGGATTGTGTGCCTCTAGAGTTTCGGCTGTAACGACAATATTTCTTTAACTCGATGGTATTCAATATCGAGTTGTAGAGAGGTCACTGTAATCGCATGTCAGTCCAATTTTGAAATTCCGTCATCCAGTAAGTCCAGTTACTGTACTGCTTTTTTACTAACGATATTTTTAGTAGATATAACAAAACATTTCCTTGATTTGTTTTCCATGCTGAGCACCAATGTTACCGACGCCAGGGAGGCAGGCTCCCACACCTGGACCCTATCTATCGACTCAGAACATCCCGGCGGCGCCGACTGGGATTGAACCCAGGCCTGCTGGGGTGAGAGGTAATCACGCTTACCACTACACCACCGGCGCCGCTATATAACAAAACATGCAAACTTTATTGTAACTTATTTTAAGAGGCAACTAACCATCACTCGATTTGCTTTTGCTTCTTCTGCTTGTAGTCCTAAATCATCACTTTTTAAAAGTATTGGTAAAATTCGTTGGTAGCGTGCGTTGCCGTGCCAAAATAGTCAATAATTCATCATAAATATCAACTGGTATGGTGAGCAAAATCTCTTTTGTTAATAACTCGCTTAGATTAACATTTCTCGGTGCGTGTGCTGTTGCTTTTGATAGCCAATACAACCTGTTATAGCACTACATTGAAAAAAAAATCAAATAGGGTAACCAACTTGAATTGGACCCCTACATATTTTGGACCCTTTTCATATATTTTCCTCGCTTACTGTCTAGTTTCTTCAAATTCATCTGGGTTGATGTTGTAATTACATTCTTTCAATTACTTGCTATGTCTCAAGATCATTAGTTCACCTCAAATTGCTTACAATTGCTCAATTTATGCAGTTTTAGAAAATGTTATCGAAAAAGTTTCATGTTTCGACGTTTGTCAAGAGGAATCGGCGTTAGTGTACTTGTTTTAAATTTGGTCTAAAATATACAATTCAATGATTTTTTTTATCAAATCAGTTTATCTGACTTTGGAAGATGTATTTCACGTGTTTATAAAGATTTCACCTTAAGATTTTACTTAAAAAGTATTAAATAAAAAGTGTCCAAAAAAGATCGTAAAAAAATGTTACCAACTTATTTTGGACACTTATCAAATGAGAATCATCAAAAGAGCGACAAAAAAAAATTCCGGTTGGTCGATCGTGCTATTATCTCAGATTTCTTATTAAATTGTTTTTAAATATATTTCTTGTTTATCAGGCGATTCAAAATGGGAAAAACGGCAAAACACGTACACGCTAATATCAGATAACCCAAATGTAGGTTTACTTTACCCAAATTAGGCGTAAACTGCACAAACTCAGATATAGGTAAATTTTTTAACCCAAATATGGGTAAATTTAAGTCAAATTTGCTTAAAAATAAATCATTTATGGTTCATAAGAACCCATATTTGGGTTAAAAAAAATTACCCATATGTGAGTTTGTGCAATTTACGGCCAATCTCGGTAATCTCTTTGTAGCGTCTAGGTAAACTGATCTTAGCGTGTAGAGTGGTCCACTCTGAGTTTTCCTAGTTTTCCTAGTTCCTAGTTTTCCACAAAAGTTTTCCTATCTCCCAAACGCATTTAACTAAGGGGCTGTTCATAAACTACGTAGACGCTTTAGGGGGGTGGGAGCGCTTGGCAGATGTCTACGGTCCATACAATTTTTTAAATTTTGTGTTTGAGACTGTCTTCTACGGTGGAGTAGTATACATGAACATGTGAAGTTCTCGCATGTGATATATCTCGAAATCCTGACCAGATAGAAAGTTACTGTCTTCGAAAAAGTTGTTCAGGAGTTCAAAGCCTATAGTTCAGAATTTTTTCACTATATGGTGCTAGTATATACGTGAAATTCTCATATAAAATATCTCGAAATCCTGATCATATAAAAAGTTACTGTCTTCGGCAAAGTTGTTCAGGAAGTCAAGGCCTTTTTGCTGGTGGACTTAAGTTTAGAGTTTTCTCACTTTGCAACGCTAGTATACATGAGGAATTCACGCATATAAAATATCTCTAGATCCTGACCAGACAGAAAGTTACTGTCTTCGGCAAAGTTGTTCAGGATGTTAGGATCTTTTCGTTGGTGCATAGTAATTCAGAATTTTCCCTTTACGGGGCACTAGTATGCGGGTCATTCAGAGATATTTTATATGCTAGGATTTCACGTGTCTTTCAACGTCACCTAGTGAGAAAATTATGTACTTTCCACCAACGATAGGGTTTGATCTCCTGGACAACTTTGCCGATTACAGTACATTTTTAGCAGGTCTTGAGATATATCATATGCGAGAATTGCACGTATATACTAGTACCATGAAGTGAAATATTCTGAACTACCGTCCACTAGCCAAAAGGCCTTGATCCCCTGAACAACTTTGCCCAAGACAGTAACATTCTATCTTGTCATGCTCTCTAGATATTTTATATGAAAGAATTTAACGTGTATACTAGAACTACATAGTGAGAAAATTCTGAACTATTCTACACCAAGCAATAGGCTTTGACATCCTGAACAACTTTTTCAAAGACAGTAACTTTCTATTTGGTCAGGATCTCGAGATATATCATATGCGAGAAGTGTATATGTATACAAACGCCACGTGGTGAGAAAATTCTGAACTACTGTCTACCAGTCGAAAAGTCTTGACCCCCTGAACAAGTTTGCCCAATACAGTAACTTTCTAGCTGGTCAAGAACTCGAGTTATTGTATATGCGAGAATTACACGTATATACTAGCGCCTCGTAGTGTGAAATTTCTGAACTACTCCACCAACGAAAAGAGCTTGACTTTCTGAACAACTTTGCTGAAGGCATTTACTTTCTATCTGGTCAGGATCTAGAGATATTTTATACACGAGAATTTCACATGTATGCTAGCACCACGAAGTGAGATAATTCTGAACTATTGTACACTAAGAAATAGGCTTTGACCTCCTGAACAACTTTGCCGAAGACAGTAACTTTCTATCTGGTCAGGATCTCGAGATATTCCATGTTGTAACCAATTATGTCAATCCCACGTAGTATGGACACCGTTTACGCGGTTTCCATTTACATTTTCTCTATTATCCGCATTTTGGGGGTTAATTGTAATCAAAGTTTAGCTTTTTTAGTTCAAAACAAGTTT